GAGGTCCCGCAGTCTGTGTCCTCCGGGGCGAGAAAAGCCCCGTTCGTACCTACAAGTCGGGGACTGCCTGTATACCTGGCGTATAAGACAACCCCCGATTTTTGGGGGATGTTTTTTAGCATAAAAAGTCGTCTTATACGCCGGAAAATACGGTAATACAAAATCCAATTTCATCTTGGCCATATCAGTACAGCATAGCTAAGAAAAAGGAAATCCAGTGTACGAATGATACATTAGTACATTTAAAGTGCAATTTTTCCAGTTTGATAGAACTGGGATTATAGGCATGCAGGATCATTGCCCCAGCTGTTAAAAAATCTCAGACTTTGGAAGGGGAAGGGATAGTTAGCAATAGTATATGTGGAGGAGTCTGCATGGCTTTCTCTGGCTTGACATGAGTCCTGCTAAGAAGCTGGGCCATTAAGTCTGATTCTAGCAAGCATGCAGGCGAGCCTCAGGCTGAAGCAAATATGTGGAAATACAGCCTTTTCTCCTCAGTCATTGGGTAAAGACTTGACTATAAACTGCCAAGCATGATCAAAATTTCCAGAATTATTATGATGTGGCTTATAGAAATAGGGAGGGACACAATGGGCACACCCTGTATTTTATGAAAGTGCTAACTGCAAAAGGGGTAAACAATCTAAGATAATGGGGTAAATTAAAGATTGAACAAATAATGTTAAGTAAAGTGAGTAGCGTATCTAAGGGTGTTGGAATAAAGAAGTGTGTATGGCTGGAACACCACATGGCAACAAAGTGTGAAGTGAGTCTTGCTTGTATAAAGGATGCTTTAGTAGCGTATCTAAGGGTGTTGGAATAAAGAAGTGTGTATGGCTGGAACACCACATGGCAACAAAGTGTGAAGTGAGTCTTGCTTGTATAAAGGATGCTTTAGCACACATGTGCTTTGGGAGGGAGGAACAGAATGGACCCACAAATTCTATTCACATAACCATAAGTTTTGGGGCCTGTTCATCCACATCACACAGTCTAGGATGTCTCATCGCAAGGGAAGGAACGAGATCATGACCTCCTGTCCGGGGATTGTTGGGGATCGAGGATGAACTATAAGTGAATTTGCACTGCCACTTTTCACAAAGCAATTGTGATAGTCTTACCATGAAATACAATTCATTACTCAAGAAAAAAAAAATTGCCATCTGGCATCTGAGCCTTTTAGGTGCATATGTTTCACATTTTCTAGCTTTCCTCTGCAACTGTGAGGACTACAAATACAATTTTTAAAAAAGGTGAAAGCAGACATTGTGATGCAGACTCTTGTTTCTAGAGAGGCTTTAAGAAAAATAATGCAAATCTTATAATAAAAATCACTAAAGGTGGCAAGACTGGAGTAAGGGAAATGGACAATAGAACCTGGGTCTCACCATACAATATTCTTTCTTTACCACAACTGGTTATAATTTCGGCAGCCATGGGGAGGGGTTAGGAGGGGAAGCTGGAGGGGGAGCAGCTGGCGTGGGAGCAGCCACCAGGCAGTCAACGACTGTGAGGAAGGCTGTGCAGATGAATCAGCCCTGCTTCAGCAGCTCTCACCAGGTGCTGCAACGCAGCTGGGGGTTTTGCAGCCTCCAGGGGCTGTGCGCCCTGGATTGGCGCTCTACGTGCACCCATGTGCACAAGCTGCTGCGCGATCCCCAGACTGAAAAGGTTGAGTGAGGAGCATGGAGCAGCCCCTGGCTGCTCTCTGACTCCAGCCATATGTGTCTTGGGAAAGAAATGGCACTCTCCTAAGG